CACAGCATGTGATCAGTGCCATATTCAGACAAAGAAACACTGACAACAGAACAACAGACCGCAGAATGAAGTTATTAGATATTAAGGATGTCTACGAAGTATATGTATGCAATTAATATAATGTTAAACATTCAGTATTAACTCATTTATAGCTGATGTGCGTGAGCTGATAAACAAATTGAGCGCGCGGTGGCGCAGATGCGCAAGCTTGTCGAACGAATATCCCTTTCTCACAGACATCACTGTTTGTAGTTCAGTCGGATGTCAAAAACAAGTGAGTAAACCAATGCACAAGTTACTTAATGGTAAGGAGACAGAGAGAGAGAGAGAGAGAGAGAGAGAGAGAGAGAGAGTGAGAGATAGAGAACGCACTTCTGTTGCGTGATCTTTTTTGATGTTCGCTCACTTAGCAGACGCATCATTTGGATTCAAACTAAATCGTAAATATAATACTAAATTGATAGGGGCATTTACTATAAACATCATTTATTTTCAACCTTAAGCATAACACGACTTTATGGCGAAAGTGAAACTATCAGCCAGTGTGAAATGCACTAGACTGTACTGTTCTTGTCCCTCTCATTCTGCACAATACAAATATGTGTGCGCGTTGCGCATGTTTTGCTTGCTTTGTTTCTGCATTATATGAGTGGCTTTAGAATATAAATCGCAGCACGTTTCAGATGGAAAAAAACGAGCCTTATGTTTCCGAAAATATCATAGTTAGGAGATTTATAACGAGTGGTTCCCTGCATTATTACAGCAAAACGCATGATTACAGTACTGAGCCGCTGCAATGGAGCAGCTCTAATGCTATTAAATAAAAAATGATGTACCATAGAGCAAAAAAAAAAAGAACAGTGAAAGTAAGAAAAACTTGTAAAATACATTTTAATGGGCATAATTAAGTGTGAAAATAACTGAAGAATATACAGTCAAACCAAAAATTATTCATTTTTTTTTACTGGTGGGTGTAGGACACTATAGTTCAAGTCAAGTCAAGTCTGCTTTATTGTCAATTCTTCCACATGTACAGCACATACACACAGAGAATTGAAATTGCGTTACTCTCAGACCCTTGGTGCATACAGATAACAAATACAGATAGGTACAGATTAAATACAAAATACAAAATACAACTATACAAATATACAAATAAGGTAAAATGTAAGAAAAATATATATATAAAGCACAAGGCACATGGCAGATAGAGTGCAAACCAGTAAAAGTAAACAACAGTGCAGATATAATGATTGTAGTGCAAAAAACAATGATTTGTAGTGCAAAAGAGCTTATTTCGACTGATTAGCGACGAATACATACAAAAACACTGCGACTCACAAGACAAAAAACAGGAAAACACCTTTCTGTCGTGAGAGAGAGAAGCCGCAGCGTGTGAACGCGCCGCCATACTACATAATCTTATATAATTGATATTTAACTTATATAATAGTTCCTTTATATAAGTGAAGATAGCAGAATAAAGTGAACTGTGACATATTATACCCAAAAATTCTTCATACTGTGGACTACCAGTAAAACTGATCATTTGGGACCAAAGATTATTCAGACCGAGTCTGGGAAATAATTGAAGAGGTTTGCATGAACCTGGATGACAGCACGCCCAGGAGACTATATGCTGTCATTGAGGCTAAGGGTCACCCGACAAAGTATTGGTAGTTGTCTAAATATTGTCTTACTAACAGTTCTCTGAATAATTGTTGGTTGATTGTAATTCATTACATACCTTTCTATAAAAGTTGTCTGATATTATCAAGATGAATTTGTTCTGACAGTTTAACTCTGAGTTCGTCGTCATATTTTATTACCATTTTCTAAACTATAGCAAATAAACTGTGAAAATATGAGAAATGTTGAATAAATTTTGGTTTGACTGTATCTATTTGCTAAATGAAGTTAACCAACTAACATTATACATATTATTTTCATTTCTGTACCCAATATTTAAAAAATGTATTGGTAAAGTAAAAAATATCGGTATCGGTACTCGGTATCGGCAAGTACCAAAAATAAAAGTATCGGTATCAGACGAGTACTGGAAAAAGTGGTATCGGTGCATCCCTATTGATTATGAATGCAGTTACCGACTTGTGAATAAACGTAAAGAAATAGAGTGAATTCCCAGTGGCTATGTGTTATAAATAAAGTATCAGAATCAAAAGAAAAGAAATGTAGCTTTAAAAATGTGACATCACAGACTTTAAAGGACAAAGCAGTCAAACCTGCACTTTTAACTGAAGAGGAATTTCAACAGGACAGTTATTCTTCATGTAAGTCATGTAGCAGTAATCCAAGTAAAACCTCTGCAAATGTAGAGTCAGGATGTCTGGCAGTTCAGAAATGGTGCAACTCTGAAAGAAATACAGACTAGCTTAGAATAAAATCAGCATGTTTTCACTCTACATTCATTTTCAAAAGACTTTAATGTAGAGCTGAAAAAAGAAATTCACATAAAATGTGAAGCTCACCATTTCCATGTCCATCATTCTTTTGCAGGTTTCACAGAACAGCTGATCCTCTCCATCCATGAGCATTACTTCAAACTGTGCATCAAAACTCTCTGTCTAAAACATATGGTTTTAAGAATAATAAATCATGGCAAACAAAACTGACTTGTGGGGAAAACGTGACTCTGGATTTCTGTTGAACTTATAATAATTAGTACAAATTAACCAGTGAACTTGTATATGTGGATTTTTATGCACGACAAACAATCAGCCTCCTGGATTTTATTTTTTAATTTTGATTTTAAACATCCGAAAATTCAACCTCAAGGCATTTTGATGACTTTAGCTAGAGGAATATTTGCTCAGAGGTTTTTCTTTTAATACTCAGGATAATTAATATGCTTCTCCGTTTTTAAGTGCTGTATCTAACTTGTCTCAGATGTTTCTCCTTCATCTTTGACCACAAATTACCAATGTCTAACATCTAGTACTCTAGAGCTATGTTTGATGAGAAATGTTTCAGCTCATATTAGGATAACGCATATTTGGTATGTTTGTACATCTGAGCCCAGTCTGAGACATTATTGAGTTCTCTTTTGAAACTTTGTTTTATATAACATAACTTTTAACAATGTATGGCTTCAGAAGTCTTGGAAGATCTCCAGATGTAAAACACCTTTCTCCATTGAGACCAGATTGTAAATATATGTTCGCAATCTGGTAATACAAATTTTTTTATATGCGTCTTTGGTTCAAGTTGTAAATGACTGCATTTATTAACTCATAATACTTACTACGTTAACTTTATGTTGATCAGAGTCCATAGCAATGGCCAAAGAAAAAAATGAAATGAATTCCTCAATGGGATCATGGTTCCCATGTTTACAGGAGGTTGAGTGTTTCTTCTGTCCCTGGAATATCTGTAAAATAATGCAAGATTCTGTGATAAAGGTGAATCACTTAGTTAAGCCCATAGTGTTTGACTAGTTTTAATGGTATATATGTATAGAGCCAGATTTACTAACAGCTTGACCCAGAGCAAACCCTCTTTTAGAGTTAAAAAACTACTGTATGGATTTACTAAAGACACGCAGTGAAACATTAGCAATGAAAAGGCGTGGATGCAGTTATTTTTGTGGCCGACCTTATTGCATGTGCATTTGTAGGAGTTTCCCTTTCAGACGCAAAAATTATGGGAGGAGAGTATTTAAATGAATCTGAATTTAAATGAAAAATGAATTTACTGGTATTTAAAGCCCCAAAAAGCCTTTCTGCACCCTTTTACCCTTTGACATGCTGTGAAAGTTGCTGCT